ATTCGACTTTTCTAGATTTTGTTAATTTCATAAATTCGCTTCTCAGCTTGCTGCTGTTTAATACATATCTGAGATCAACAAATTTGTGTTGCAACTAATGTGAGAAGTAATCAGTAAAATCTTGGTTAATATCGTGTGTTTGAAAGTAATTTGCAACAGATGATAATGTAAACACAAATGTTCTTTGGTTTTGCTATCTTTTTGTTTGATATGCAGCGATACGTTACGAACGATCATGCTTGCGATAATCGATCAGGCAATAAAGGCTGATAAGAAATGTAATGCGGGAACTCTGCTAGAAGTCATTTGGTCGTTTCTTAACATCCCAGATTTTTAAAAGTATTCCATTCACAGTCTTCAATTGTACATTTATGTCGCTTTGAGATCTTTTCGAAAACAAACTTTTGACTTTATTTTCTTTTGTCTTCGAATCCCCAAGATTATGAAAATGAAGAAGTGTGTGAAGCCGACAGGCAAAAGACTAAAACAACATGTTTATAAAAGGAGAATAACGAATAAAAGAGACAAAAAGAAACTAGAGAGAGATAAAGAATGGGAAGCTGTATTATGATGACGAATTACGTCACAATCAAGAAACTTTCGATTCGTGGGTGTTTAATTACGAAACTTGACAGACTTGAAAACAGCGTGTCTGTGAGTTCAAGAGTGATACAAGGTAAAGTTAAATGAGCCGGTCGTTGTTAAAAGGCTCAGTATGAAAAATAATAATAACTGCCCAGGCTTCTGTGGCTGCAAGGCTCGAGTACTGGCTAGTGTGAATAAAGTATTTCGTGGTTTTCTCTGTTCTTTCCAAGGGAATGCTTGCCATGACTTTCCCCTTCCAAAACCTTCCTAGTAATCATTTATGATCAAGTGCCTATAGCTTATGGAATTGAGATTCTGTCGTTAAATAAATTAAAGATGAATCAAGATAATTATACTGTAGAATTTCGCAGTTTTTTCAATCGGCATGCTTGTGTGAGGAAAATGAGCTGGACAGTCGAAGGAGCATGAAGTATATATATATTCGACTTTTAGATTGTCGAAATCGTGTTTACTAAACGTAAATAAACTCAACGTGCTCGCGGTAGGTCCAGAACGTTCCAAAAATGTTTAAACAAATATGAAGAGCTGTTTTCCTTTCCAATTGTGGTTTTCAGTAGTTTTGGTGTACAAGGAGAGCAACTAAATTTTGGTTATTTCGGTGGCTGCTGTGTCTAGCTGTACGTTGCAACGCGCTTGTAATACGAACAAAAGTTGGGTATAAGATTTGTATGTAAAGACAGAAGTTCTGTTGACCATCAGCTCTCAGGTCTTTCCTGGCAGCCGACTCGCTCACTATTAATCACAGACACAATGCACGGCCCATCTAACGTCCCCCAGCGCTTACAACTGGCTGTCACATTTATTAAAGCATTTCTGTCTGTGGCATGACTGTTGAGTATCATCAGCAGGGGTTCACAAGTATCAACATTATACAACAGATATAAATAGGATGTTTCTATAATAAGGGTATGCTGCTCTGTGCAAATCAAAGGGTTAGATTTTGACTATTTCCTGAGTTTTGCACTAGATAGGCCTTATGTTTTCGAAAGTCGTATCACGAACACAATGTGTAGCGGGACTTCTTTACCTTTTGCTACTAATATACGTGATATAATAATTAATCATACAGAAATATTTCGCGTTGCGGCCATGTTATTTCCGATATTATCAAAGAGCATATTTCTGCTATATCTCGTATTTCTGATTCTTGGTGGTGGTGATACTTCAATAGACGTGAAATTATTTTTGTTTCATATATTATAGTTGGCTTAATTATCACCTCTTTCAGTCTTCATACATAAAATTTCTTGGGCCATATTTATTATTTTTATTGTATAGATTTATTTTCATTTGTGGTCTTTAAATGTGATTATCACATAAATTAGGCGATTTATTGCTTTTTTTGTTTTGTTTTTCATTAGTATATCCAGTATTCTGGTGTTAATGTTTTCGTCGATATTATTATTTAGTACGTCTGTATTTTTCATTTTTTCCGCCGGTTACTTCTGTGTTTCATTTGTTAACAAACTGGAAAAATCTTTCATCACGAACTCCAGAATTTTTCTCCCACGCTAACTCCAAGAAAGTGGAAAGTATTTATTTCTGCTGTTGACAAATCATTTGCATTAAACCACAGATTCCATTACGAGTGCTTTTAAGAACATGAGTGAATGTTTTTAAAGTTGAAATAACTTCTGCGTTGTGCCGTTGTGAATTAGGGATTTGCAGGGAGCAGTGTGATAATTTTCATGTTGGTTCCTGCTCTGTTTGAATTGAACTCTTTTGCACTAGTTATCAGCGGCTGCCAGTATTATATATCAAATAACAAATAAAGTTTAAGCTCAAAATCTGTACGTATTATGTATTAAGTTTTATTTACTAAAGTGATTTCTATTCCACAAACAAAAAATAGGTATTACTAAAATTACTACGTTACTTTAATCTGATAGCTGAATTTTCTGAACATCAGATTTTATAGTTTTTTAATTGGGTAATGACATCTTCTCTACACCAAACGTAATTGTCAAACCACTAAGATGTTTTTTAATTGTGCGTATCCTTCGTACCAGAAATACTGATTATACTGCCGTGACCCGGTTTCTTGAATTCAGTAATGACATTTCCTTCACAATATTTTATCAGAGGATGATTTCAAACAAAAAAGAACTAATTAAGTAAGTGACAAGAACTGCACAGCTAAGAGTCCTTCTTAAGGTCATAGTAGCTCAGCTGTTTAAGACATCTCCCGCATTTTATAGAACTCTGAAGTTCATTATAATTTTCAAGACGGTCTATTATGGGAATATCACAAATTATGATGCTCTTTGACATTCAGTTTTCGTAATTTTGTTCCCTTAAAACACATAAGGCAACGTGTAAAGTTAATTATTATGTCTGTAGATACGAGATAGGATAACACAAATTCTGAAAAAAAACTGAATATTACTATGCAGTCACAGAATTTATTCTGCTTTTAAATTCCTCCGATTTTTAGGCTAGTTACAAAATTGCGTGTATTATCTTTGCCTTATCTGTCTGTCGATCTGTTTGTATCGAGAAACGCTGAACGGATTTTAATGAAAATTGATATTGGAAATTTCGCTATTGTTTAGCGACACGTTATAGTTTTAGTTAAAATCGGACAATAGTAATGGTCATTTAATTTGAAGTCTTGTTACGTTATCTTCTCACACCTGGAGCGTAACTCGTAAAATATTTATCTGAACAAAAATGGTTCAAATATAAGCTGTAAATTACAGAAAAATCAAATGCGCAATTTATGTCCAGCGCATTTTTCCATGCATCTTATGGATTTCTAGATGACCAAAGAAAGATTGTGTCAACTCTAACCCGGGACCTGCTGGCTCGATTTTCATAGTATTTTATATTGCAGATTGTTTTACGTTGCCGGTATTTACAGAGAGCACACAAATTTGCAGTCGCAAATTAAAATTCTATAACCAGTAACGGAGCTAACGTGCCAGAATTGTTACGTTATGCCTTTCTTTCTTTCCAACTTACTTATTGTCGTTCCCAAATAGCGGAAGAATTTTCTCTGCTTTATTTAGTTTTGCAATATTGGGTTATATATCTTCTGCCTTTAAACAGCAGTAAACCCTTTGTAACCATCTCTTCTGGTAGCTGGGCCCAGTGGCTCAGGCCAGCATCGTTTATTTTGGAAAACGAGGTTCTGTCTGCTCCACTCCCTGCCTTGTACTCCTATAAATATAGTGGTCGGACACATAACACGGTGTTCACCCCCGTCGGCTTTGCGCGGCTCACTGGACCACATAAATACCGTGTTGAGCACTTCGAAATTTGAGTTTCATTTAATGAATAGAATTAAAATTGGCATTGCATTTCGGATTCTGTATTTATTCTACAGCCATTTAACTCGAGAGACCATGCACATGTACAGAGTAGTAGAGACGAATGGAGCTAGGCAGTGTCTATGTTATGTTCTGTGATTGCATTACAACCGCTGTTTGACACTACAGATAATGTGTTACTGATTATCCTAATTATATTTAATCTTTCTTATAGACTGTGGGACCGCCGGGTTGTAAACGAGGTAAATTTATTGAGACCGCGTAACAGTTTATTAGGAAGACTGCAAAGGTGTTATCTGTACCGGAAGACACCCGGTTTCCTATTTCCGCGTGCGTTCTTCACAAATTTGGGATTTTAATCACGAAGCCTAGCATACACTACACCAACCTAGGCCAATCTCGTCTTTCCAAACATTGCCTAGCCTCTCCTGCCTTGGCCTTTTATAACCTAGCCTAACCTAACCTAAGTTACCTTTGGCTTCCGTTGTTATCTTGATTACTACAGTTGCCAAACCTCTCCTAGCCTTATCTACCCTACATTTCTAACCTATAACTGACAAATCATCGAACTAAGTTATACGAAAATGTAAATGGATCGTATACAAACACATTCTGCTTTTATTTTATTTAATGTTGCTGTTTTAGCTGTATAGGTCAGGCGAAATAATGTCGAATGGGGAATCGCGAATATGTAAGTTGCCTATTCTGTGTTTGTCTGCAGGGACTCACGAAAACCGAAGAAAAGTAGTAGACAGTGTAGCCTAGCACCGAGCTAAGATGTACACGGGACCACCGACTGGCGCTGTGGACAGCTTTGTCAGTAGTTCAAAGATGCCTTTTGTTATTCTTTCTGTATGTATAGTTTTAGTTAAGAGATGCATTACTCAATTTCCGGCCTCAATACAAACCCCAGTTTCTCATATACGCTAGAATTCCAAGCGCAACTTTTGCGACCAATGGTGTGGAAGAAGTACCAGTAACTTTTTAAAGTTAATTTAGTTGTAATTGTTCTTTAAATTTTTGTTTTATTAGTCTTACATAATTGCTTATAATTACAGCGAAAATAGTTGACTGAACGCATCAAAATATAGCGGGAGTATTGACATTTGTTGTCTTCTAATATAGCCGCAGACTGGAACTCTGGCAGAGACGCTAAAGAAGGACCACGTCATCATCATCCTGGTGATATTCTGCCTCATCCTGTCCGGCATGTGCTTCACATTCCTCTTCAACTGCGTGCGGAAACTAATTCATGACCACAGTATCATACAGGTCAGTGGTAGTAACTTCTGGCTCTCTAATTGCGCGCTGGGAGTAAGTAACGATCACATCATTATTAGGTTGGTATCTCATTGCTGTTTAATTGCATGCGGAAATTGCGTCACTGTCAAGGTGTCATACGTGTCATAATCTCACGATAATGCAGAAATGAAATTAGGAATATCGAGACGAATTTTATGCTTCTTTGCATGAAGTATGTAAAATGAACGCACAGTGGGGAGGTAATGCTAATTTTTTGTTCTGTCCTCATGTTTCAGTAAACTACTGAATAGATTTATACAGAATTTGGAATTTAAGATCATTACCCTAGAACATTGTTACAGATCTGATTTTGATTATCGGCAGATGTACTTACTTCCTGTTTTACAATGTCAATATATATTAAAAATATTAAAATATATTAAAATTGGCCGTCAATCACAATATAAGATAATTAAAAGTTCCTTATCGAGTACTCGATTTACATGTGGAACATTTACGACATGTTTCGGCTATATATAGCCGTCATCAGGTGTTATATTATAAACTTTTTACTGAATTACTGATTTTTACTGATATTTAATGATGATTTTCAGTTCTAATTTTTCTTATCGTGTTCTCGTCCTTCATATTTTATTTTCATATCTTAATGTCAATATAAATCTTATCGTTTCTCTTCAAAAGTGCTGTCCATACGTTACGTAAAATATTGATTACAGTAAGCCTTATAGGTTTTGATTGAATCATACTTTAGTAGGTTAACATTTAAAGTAATACGAGAAAAATTCTTCTGCCAAAGTACGTGTTTCTATCTGTAATGATTTAACAATGAAACGAGGTTAAAGAAAGTAAATGGATAATTCTATTCGACCTGTTCTATTCGTTTAATATTTCTCAGAAAAAACAACGTCACTAGCAGTTCTGTAGGGTAACTCTTGTCCAATGTCAGGTTGGCGCACGATTTGTTTACATGAAAATTCACACAGCACATGTAGTTATATTGCAATTTATTGCATGAATATTTTCAGCCTTTACTTTAATTTTCCACGTCATACTTAATGCAAACTGTGGTTTCCATTACCACCTTCCGTCTCATTAAAACTGTTTTAAATTCAGCATGTTCCACTGTTGCATTTCATATGACACCCGAAAGACTCAGGTCCCTTCGTTATGGGATGTGTGAGACATTTAACGGTGCACACAGCAAAGGAATATTGAGCGGAACAGGCAGAATACCTTGCTTTCACCGTTACGAACTTCGTACCTACACCTACGAGGTAGATGCAAAAGATGGAAAAAATTAATTTCGTTCCGAGTATATGAAGATTTCAAATACTTCCACGATTTTACACTTATATCTCTGGTTTTAGTTCATGTACATTTATCGCAAACGTGTTATTGAAAGAGGTAGTGCCTGCACATCTGCGCAGAACCATCCAGCGCAGTGGTCAAGTGATTATCTCCCGGCTTCGTATTCGGGAAGTTCTGACCTTAAACAGAATTATCCTGACTTTTTCGCGGTCTTTCTCAGCCCTTTCAGACAAACTATGGAGCATTTAGGTCACTCATCACTCCATAGTCACACAAATTATCTCCTGAAAAGACTTAAATTCATTGTCGCGGCTGAATAATTTGCACTCCATATTAAGATATCTGGTTTTTGAGCCCGAGCCTGGTGGCCGGCTATCCTGCTTGAGGTTTTTTGTGGGTTTCCTGAGTGTTCCAGGAAGATGCTGGGATAATACTTTAAATTATACCAAGGCCACTGCCTTCCACATCCTTTCCAATTCATTTCTTATTAACCACCCTTTCATTTACACTATATTTTGACCTACAGAACGCATCATTAAATAGACCACAAATGAATAAATATTCATTGTCCATTTGAAAGATTAAATTTCTTCATATTTTTTAATGCAGAGGCAATGAAAGAGGTTTATTTCATGCCAGTAGCGCTAAAGTAGTCGGGGTTAATAACTTTTATGTGGGCGAGAGTCTGATTGGGTCATAACGTCATCAGGGAGGATTCCCCATTCCCAAGTAACCATGGTAACTATCCCAACCGTGGTAACGAAAGTAAATGTTTACAGTCACACTGAGATGAGCTTAAGAAAGGTTTTTATATTGTGATGTGAAGAGGACGTTAAAATCGTTCGATGTAAGTGGAAATTGAAATGATTTAACATTTTGTTCCAAAATTTAAACAAATCACAATCGGTTTTCCCTTCCTCCAGTTGTTTGTGTTTATGGACAGACAGACAGATATTCAGAGCTGAACGGACACTCCACAGAGTTTAGAACGCCCCTAAAAAAAGCGGTTGTTTTGTCCAGCCCAATGAAACTGCAGTCTTAATATTGAACGACAAGCGATTAACCAGAAAATCTAACACGTGAATCTTCCATTGCGGTGAAGATATTAGTGCTGATTTTCTGGGTTGTGACACCGTTTCGTCTTGAAGGTGGTTATCAACTTTTTGCAGTAATGTTTCGCTTCCATACTCAGGTCGAACATACCCTTTTTCGAAACCACACTGCGTCACAACGAAGAAGACCGCAGTCTACTTTAGCCTCAAATGATGCGACCGTTATCCACCTGCTGGAGTCACGCTCGTCTCGCCTTCGAATGCCTAGCACTAACCACAGATTATTCATGTAAATATCGTTCCTGTGTTATAGATATGAATATCACTGGCCGTACACTGCTAAAACACGACATGAAGTTTCAATTATATAAGCTTCTAAAGCGGAAATACGGTAATTTGTGTATATTAAATCTATAGATAACTGACAATGGAAAGCCACATAGCGATTAATTGACATTTTGTAAATTCGTTGAACCGTTGGGCTTTGTGTAAAGCCCGCCTCTGCAGAACAGAGGAAGACAGAATTATCAAATCACGAAAAGCGATATTTGAAATCCCTTTCTGTGAAGACCTTCATAACTTCTAGTTTATTTAGCGAACATTCATGCGCCATATTTCAAATCGAGCATATGAAAATTTAAATATTAAAACACCAAAAATTATGGCCTTATGATTGTCTTACGTTGATATGAAAATTAATATCTCAATCTAAGGGAAGTGTATGCATTTGTAATGCTTGAATAACATGATGAAAATATTGTTTGAATCTAGGTGAGATGATATAACGAAGTACTTTTAAAAAAATTGCATTATTGGAAAATTATACATTCATACTTTTTGCGTAACATTGTTAGGGCCGATTGAATCAAAATATGAAGTGTGAAGATCGTGTGAGTCACATGTTGAAATAAGGAATTCTTACAATATTTTGGATGCAAAATGAAGAAAAGGTACCATTTAGGAAATGTGGGCGTATATAGAAGTATTTGAGCTGATATAATGTTCTGTTTAAACATAATCAATTGTCTTTATTTAAAATAATATAAGAATTAAAAGTTCCAAAATTTACTGCGTCCTGGAGACTGGCTTTTTCTTCAGGTATGAAGATGAGTACTTCCTTCATGTGGCCTTGAAGATCAGGTATATCTTTCGGACCCCACAGAATAAGCGAATATTATTTAAGACGGACATAAACGGGTCTAATATTTTAAGTTTTTAATCACATCTTGATGTAATTTTAACATAAAATAGATAATATCCAAATAAAATATACTAACACACAATATGGCCACGTGGATTTAGAGGTTAAACGTGAGCGGGTGGACAGATACACAACTCTTTAAGCATATTTATATGATTAAAATAATTATAATTAACCATTAATGTTCTGTAAATCTCACGTACTTACAGCCAAGAAATTAAAAGCTCGTCCGGTAATACATCTAAAACAATTATAACCAGAATAATAATTGAATATTGAATTATTCAATATTGCTGATAACAGAGGCCAATCAAACATTTCAGTCTCGGGTTCGAATCCTGCTCGGGATGAGCAAGCACATGCCCTGACATAGGGAATTCCTACATTCTGTAAGCCCTATAAAGTGGTTAAAATATTCATCGTTTCAGAAGTCAATTGTGAATCGGAAATGACCAGAGGGCTTCATCTGTACTTAATAAATAAAGACTATAACTAATTCGTTGTTATTTAGTCAGTCAATAATCACGAATAATTATAAAATAATTACTACAGTTTAAGTAGTAATGTCATTATTATCTGTTCACCTAGACTAGGCGTGCAAGTCATGCGGGCCCCGGAAATATTTTCTCTGGCCCAGGGGCAAACGGTTCAACAGCGCTTGGGCCCCTGAAAAATCATCTTTCAAAGTTAATCAAGAATAATAGAACGACGTTATTTTTAAATAAGGGCACACAAAATTGTACTTTTTTATTCGTGCCTCTTTCCATTATTTTTAAATGTATCTACTTCTTATAGAAAACATTTAATATTAATGTAAAACATTAATCTATTATTTACACATAATGCATAACGTCTACATACTTTTAACCGTTGTAATTATCACACAAGATATAAGATACTGCTGCCCGAAACACTTCTGTACTGTACATATTTGCCCACACGTACTTTCAAGTTGTGCACTCCTGTTCTTGACTATGATTAAGCTACACAAATCTGGATTATATACCTTTAACACGGCAATATGATTCTGTATCAGCAATAAAATCCTACAAGTTTATTTTCATATGGTGAGATACAAGCAAGACCACATTTATAAAGTAAGCTTTTAATTCAATGGATTATTTACTTTAAAGCGAGGATGTCGGGCACTGAAAGCAAAACTACGGATGTTTAAGGTTATGAAGGGGAGTTCAACGAGATGGAAAAATCTGCGCTGATAACCTGTGAAATACTTTCCTGCAAGAGTGCACGCGACATAATACTAGGAGCACGCACACACATACACACACAATCTTTCTCGCCATGCTTCTTGTAAAATTTACGGACCTGAATCTGTGTGTGGCCTCATGTGCGTAAAATCTAAAATCTCGACTCCGTACATGAGGGATTGGAAGATCTTTTCCTGCGCCATATATTTTCAAACATTCCGTGGATATGATCAAGGAGGA